CCGAAGATATCGGTTATAATCGGAAACATCCGAAGATATTGGTTATTAATAGGAACAGCCGAAGATATCGGTTATGAGCGGAAACATCCGAAGATATTGGTTATGAACAAAAACAGCCGAAGATATCGGTTATGAACGGAAACAGCCGAAGATATCAGTTATGAACGGAAACAGACGAGGATATCCGTTTTGTGCGGAAACAGCCGAAGATATTGGTTATTGAACATGCGAGAATATCCTTTAAGCTCATTTAAAAACGCTACGAACCAGGTAAATATCCAAAACATTACCAATTCTAGAAATGATCATGGATTTTAAAATGTATATATAAAACGTATTTCAGTAAGCCGCATGTCTTCTTTGAACTTTACTTTTAGTTGGAATTGCAGATGTCAATCCGAAAATGGAACATTGCTTTTTCATATTTCAAGCAGGCTTGAGACTGTTTTGCATATCAACATTTTACTTTGACGACGCCACGTTTGATGTCTATCAACGAATAAAAAAAAACTTTGTAAATAAAACCTTCTAATTTTTTTTTTTTAAACATTTCACCCCCAAGCAAGCGGGAGTGTTACTAGCACGCAAGGCGTTATAGAGAGTGGGAGTAAAGAGGTGTGTTTGAGGAAAGGAGAAAGAGAAGGCCGGGGGTCAATGTCACGGCATTAGAAGATGTCGATTGACATTACATTTGAATATTTCAAGATTATCGCTATCAGGGAAGAAAGTAAGAGGAAGGGAGTTCCACTGTCGGGAAGTGCGAGAGAAGAAGCTGTTGGAGTAGAGGCGGTGACATTTAACTCTTTCGAGAGTGAAAGAGTGGGTTCAAGATGCCAACCTAGTAGCACTTCTTAAATTCACGCAGCTGGGGTACTAGTGAAAAGTAGCCCGTCAGCGCAGTTGCCATGAAAATGTTTATAGAAAAGACAGAGAGAAGCCACATCGCGTCTGTGAGAAAGTGATTGCAGATGAGATGCCAGGTCAGGATCTATCACATTGCATATCCGTCTTTTGTCGAGAACCTCGAGATGGGGTTGGCTGCTCCAGACCATATATGGCAACACTATTCAATGCATAGACGAATAGCAGATTTCTAGATTTGATGGATGAACACAGGCGAGAAAAACCTTCTGGTACGACACAGAGAACCAACTTTCCTTGCAGTAGATGAAGCTATTGATTCAATGTAGTTGTTCCATCTCAGGTCAGCGGACAGTCTGAGACCAAGCAGGCACAGAGAGGCGCTCTTGTCGAGTTGGGAATCATCCATCCTGATGGAAGGAAGGGGTTACACTGTGGTGGGTAACTGAGAGCAGTTTCGTTTTAGAGACATTAAAGTTTACAAGGCATTTCCTGTCTCAGTCAACCACAGATTGGAGGCCCTTCTCGAGGCCTACGGCCAGGTTAATTTTATCAACGGATCTACTATTAAGGCAGGAGTAAGTAGTAATGTCCTCAGTTAGAAATTAACTGTAGACGAGATGCCAGATCAGGACCTATCACATTGCATATTCGTCTCTGGATTTTGTTTAGGATCTCGAAATGAACACCGGGGGCATATATGGCAGTATTCAATACAAGCACGAATGGTAGATATGTGGATTTGATGGATCAACTCAGACGAGAAAAACCTTCTGGTGCGACAAAAAGAAACAACTTATTACAGAGGTACAGGATTTAACAAAGATTAATTTAAAGTACTAACTTAATTTTTTTAACTACTTTTAAAGTACGTAATTTAATATTTCTAACTACTTTTTACTTTTTAGCGAACGGGGCATTTGCTTACAACGAACTTACGACCATGGGTGACCGCTTGGGAATATCAGGTGCTGTAAGCTTGGATGCGTGGGTGGTGTAATGGATAAGGGCTCAGAAATGGAAATCGGAGAGCCGAGTTCAAATTCCAGTCAGATTCGTTAAGCCACTTGCGCGCAAATACCCTTGGGAATGGTATGATTTCAACTCTTCTCTCACCCCAGCTGCAAAGCCGTATATAAAAAGAAAAAAAAAACAAATAAATCAAAGTTTACAGTGAGTACAAGGGTCTTGACTCAGTATTATTGTTCATAGGTGATGAAAACCCGCTTAAAATTCTCAGTAACTCGTGAGAAAAGCTGAAATATGGATGACCAAAAACGCTAAATTATATTAGCCACAATAGCAACATCATATGCGCAACATTTTAAAAAAAGTTATATTATTCGAATATTTTTTTTTATTTATATCCACTACGAATACGCGTAAAAAGGATACCACTCGAACCTGTTCGCCTGTTTCCGTCAAGGTTTGATTATTTCCGTAATTACGAATATCTTCGGCTATTTACGTAGCATTGTCGCGGAACACTTCCAACTCAGCATCAGTATCGATCGATGATCTTCAGCTCTTTCTGTCAATGCATGTCGACTATAGATTCGTTTGTTTCCGCCAATGTGTGTCGAATAATCTTCGGTTATTCCCGTAAAGTCGCATCGTATATATCAGGCTATATGCGTAACATCGTCTTCGATTTTAATACAAAAGTCTATTGAATATGTTTCTCGTTTTTATCAACTCACATTGAATGAGCTTCGGCTATTTCCGTATGTTCATAACTGATATATTCGCCTGTTTCCGTAATATCCTGACAGATGCCTTTTAAGTTAACATAAAGCAGACTATTTTGGTCAGTGACCCGACATTTGTTGACCAAAATAAACATTCTGTTAAACTGTAACTGCATTTAATTTGATAATGAGTTTTATATGGAGTGATTTCGAATTTATTAACAAATGCAAAGGGAAATAAAACCAAATTTTATATATTTTGACGCCTTGGTAAGCAATTTTTTGTAAATCACCTTCACAGATCGCTACAATGATTTCATTCTTCACTAAGTTGAAAAACACTTATTTCTGTATCCTTCTCAATAGAATAATAGTGGTTCTCAAACTTTTTGAAGACGGAACGAACTTGAAATCCTACCAATAATTGTAGGCGCCCTATATACAAATTTCAGAAAAATATGTTATAATGAAGTCAAATATTACAGAAAAGAAATAATGCAATAAAAAATAAAACATCCCTTAAGATTATTCATCCTTGTGTTTATGAGAAACATGAGCCTGATGAGTCATAGCGATTTCTTCAATATTTGGGTGTATATTTGATAGGTAAATTGTCATTTTCTCCTCAATACATTGAAGAGTTCCTCTCTTTTTGCACCTAATTGTGGTGAGAACAGAAAAGCCTAATTCGTGTAAATATGATGTTGCAAAGTGTAGTAATATGGTCAGTTTTTTTTAGATATTGACACATATTCTTTTTTATATTTCTTTCATTTTATGTGCCGTGTCCTTTCAGGACGTAGGTGATCATGGCTCTCCACTTCTCCCTATTCATTGTATCTCACAATAAATTTCGTCCCTCTGCCACCACCCCCAGACCATGTTCCGTCATCAACTTGCTTAAACCCACCAGGTATGTAATGCGTTGCTTTCTCTTGTCTTTTCTCCCCTCTATTCGACCTGTGAGTATCAGATTCTCCAGGCCCTCCTTTCTCATTACGTGTCCCTCATCTTTCATCTGCCTCTTCCTTATGTTAAGTATGCGCTTCCTCCTTGTTTACATCTTCTCCAAGACCTCATCGTTGCTCACACGATCACTCCATGATATTCTCATCATCCTTCTGTAGAACGACATCTCTGCTGCCTCGTGTCTCTCATAGAAATCCAAAAAGCTTCAAGGGACAATTCATTATGTTTAATCATCAACCGACGATCAGTGGATATGATAAAGTAATTAATTTATCACATTTGCTTAGAAACAAATAAGTGATAAATTCTAAATGATAAATTATTAAGTATAAATAAGACAACTTTTAAATAAACAATCCTAATCCTCGTCATCATTTTATGTTACATAATACATCTTTTAGTAAGCAACTTTCTTGAACTAGGCTTTGAGGACTGTCCGCAACTCCTACCAGTTTCATACAGCAAAACAAAAGCTTCCTATTATTGAAACTTTCCTCAAGTGTCATCCACAACGGTACCATAATATAATAAAGTAAACATATTTCTTATATCTGGACACATGTTTCTCTGGAATGCCTGGGCGCACCTAGACATCTTCCACGGCGCACCAATGCGCCCAGGCGCAACATTTAAGAACCACTGCATCAGACGTACGTTTATTTTAACAAAAGCATTGGTTGAAGCAATCCAATGACTTAACCCGAAAATTTACGAGTTCAATACTTGCTCACGGTAGAGGTGAATAAAAATTTATGAGAGTTGGGTTACTAAAGGGGAATAACTGAAATATGAGATATCCAGAAAAGGCATGGCGCGTGGAACTAGAACAATCTACCCTGGTGGACGAAATAAAGGGTTTCGAAATTCCAACGTAATTTACCTGAAGGCTGGAGAGTGTAACGGCCGAAACGTCGTTAATATGATAATAAAGATATGGACAACAGTTCAAAAACGATGTAAATAGTTTATTTATTTCATCAGTCCATTGTAAGACATTATCCTCCGGCAAGGACTTTCGTGGTCACGGCTCTCCACAATTTCCACTCCTTTGTAGCTCTTAATAAATGCTGTGCTTTTCTTCTCTCTCTTAAACCGTGTTCCGTTATCCATTTACTCAAGCTCACTAAGTATGTCTTGCGCTGTTTTTCTTCTGTCCCTCTTGCCTACAATCTGCCCTGTGAGTATCAAATTTTCCAAGCTGTCTTTCCTCATTATGTAGCCTAGTAATTTCAACTGTCTCTTTCTGGTGTTAATTATAAGTTTCCTTTTCTATTTTCCATAAAACTTTCTTTTGATCGGTCCATGGCATTCTCAGCATGCTTCTGTAGAGGCACATTTCTGTTGCTTCAAGTCTCTTCTTCATCTGTGAGGAGATACGTTGCTGTTCTTCCTAACCAGAGATTCCCAAAGATTCAGGATGAGTGAGGAAAAAGAGGCGGTAAAATGGTACAAGGGTGATATTCGAATTTTTTTTTTTTTTTA